AAGTTAATTATTTTTCACAGATTTTGTTGCAGCATTGTATTATTTAGATTGAAGATTGTGTTTATTTTGTGGATTAAAATTGATTTTGTTTGGCATAATTTTTTGGGTTTATTTTCTCATGACTTTATTGTTTAATAAAACTTAGATTTGTTTCAATGTTTTTTTTGTTCAATCTATAAAATAAAAAAAATCATTGAATCATTCATATAAGATCATTTTTGCATTCCTGTTTTAGGCTATTTAAATTTAGTTCCAGCACTAGTCTTTTTAGATTTATGATTGCTTTTATTTTGTGGATTACAAGTGACTTTTTGGATTTAGGATTGTTTTAGTGTCAATATTGTGCACTTTAGCTTCTTGCATGTTTTTTTTTTTTAAACTTCAGCTTCTTGCATGTTAAATGAAGAATAGTGATGCATATGTGAATAAGTAAAGAATAAATAATTAAGCTTATGATAAGAAGGATTCTCGAAAACCTTAATGTTGTAAAATCTGATATAAATAAGATGTTTGATGTTGCATAAACCAAGCTAAATCTTATAAGTGAGTTTGAGAATCTTTGTAATCTTTGTGTGTTTGATATAAATAAAATATCCATTTTTGTATAATTATCTTTTCTATTCTTTAAATAACTTTTAACTAGGGATTAATCTGCGACGTAGCGCGGTGACATTTTTTTAATTTCAATTAAGTTAAATAATTTTGTAAAATAGTTATTTTGTAAAAAAAATTATTGTTATAAAATTCATGATGGTATAGTGCATATTATTTTTTTAAATTTTAAAAAATGAGTTGATCCGTATATAGAATCATTTTTATTTTTTAGTTTGAATTAAAAATTGAGTTAGTCCGTATATGAAATTCTCCGGATAAAACAAAATAAGCCATTTATTTAACCCATTGACATTAGATTAAAATATTATTCAGGCTAATATACAAAATAGTATAATATTGTAATCACCAGCTCTAATTTACATTACTTAAAAACTGAGTTTTATAATCTGGCCACAAACTATAAAAAATCAGTTTTATCTTCTTTAACTACATATGAATAGTATAATATTCTTTAAATTTAGGTTTTGATATATAATAAATAAAAATACAACAACTGTATTTAATTTTAAAAGAAAAATTATAATATTTAGTAGATTAAATATACTATCTATTTTAAAAACTAATATTCTGAATTGTGAGATTTATTTTAGTGGATATTGAAAATTAGAATCATAATAATCCATTCATATTGAAATAACTTGTTTGCTTAACATGTTTGTACTGAATTAAAAATATAAAACTAATTATAATATGCACTGTTCAATAACTCTCACTTCATTACAAATTTTTTTATTTTAAAAATCAATTTTTATGTCTAATTTTTGGCAAAATAACTAAAAATTTTTTTTTGTATATAATCAAATAACTATGCAAATTATCGTAAGCAATATTTCACCATGTTTTTAATATTATAACTTTTAATCTTGACTTTTTTATTATTTAATTCTAAAATTTTTTTATTTTCACGTTTTTTTAATTAAATATACTTTATGATATCATTTAAAACAAAAAATATAAAAAACTACTATATTTTTGAATTCAAAAATTAAATAATAAATATACTCTATTAAATGAGAAACAAAAACTTTCTATATTTTTTTCAATAGATTTAAAAGATAACTATATCATTTTCTATTTTAATTATGCTTTATTATTTGTAATGACATATCATATAATATTTTATAAAATAAAAGCTATCTTTTAAAATATCTACTTAAATAATAATATAGAGATATATACACTTAATCTTAGAAAACTTTATTTATGATTATATCCACTATATATCTGTAAAACTGGCATCAAAGTCATTAGTCTAAGCTTTCGATCTTATCTCCCAAAAGGTATTATCACATTTGAAACATTCTTATCTTCCAAAGGATATTATCACATCGTGAAATATTTCAAAGACGGTCAAGAGACTCAAGACAAATATAAATATGGCATTCCATGATTCGTTTACGCTATATATATATCTGATTTGGATGTTTCACGTGTTAACGAACCATCATTTCTTTATGCTGTATATACCCTCTTTCAGATAATATAGTACTTCATTTAATCGATTGTGTATAGCTTTTTGTAAAGTAGATTAATAAGTACTATTTTGACAATGTTATCAAAATCTAAGTATTTTTTAACATGCGCCCAATTCTAGTAGATTAATAAGTACTATTTTGACAACGTTATCAAAATCTAAGTATTTTTTAACATGCGCCCAATTCTAAATAAACTGACATGCATCACAATTATTTTAATTAAATGCGTCAAACTTTATATCATAAAATATACTACAGAAAACAAAACAACGTTCGTTTAGACATTTATCATTTTACTCATCTATACCGTTTTGCTACCCTATTATTCTGTCCTGGCAGACTATCCTGAATTATATTTAACAAATTAGAACATATATGTTAGGAAAGGTACACATGACAGTTAATTTGTATAAGATTTGATTATTTAGGAAGAATCATTCACACTTGAGTTTGGTTCGACTTATCTGATTGATTGAATCTGGTCTTATTGTTTTGATTGACTCCGCGTGGAATGGACATTAGTTTACAGGTTTTGTATTGTTATGGGCCTTTGAAAGTAGAGTTAATGCATGAAACTATCCTCGTAAGCATGATTTATTGTCAGAGTATCATTAGATAAGTCTATCTTGTTAGACTATCCTTAAAAAGTTTATCAATGTCCATTTTAACCTGAGGATAGACAGTATTACAGAATTACTATTTTTAATTATATTGTTTTATTTTTAAAGAGATATTAATAAAAAAGAAATAGGTTAAGTTAAGATTGGGGAGTCTTGTTGGTTTCTAAAAAAAAAAAGTAACGATAGCGGCGACAAGTGCGACGGCGAAGGCGAAAAGGAACGAACGAAACGACCAGATTCTGGCGGAGACTGAAGGTTTTCCGGAAAGATCTTCTTCCTCACACTTCTATGTTCTTTCCTCTTTGTTTATTGAAGTTTCTGCACCATTCAAAGCATCTGCAGAGTTCAACGACGACTTCTAGGGTTCGAGTCGTCTGCAGATTTCAAGGAGTTGCCAGAATTATTTTCCGAAAATCACCTTGCGGTGCCGTTTTAGTATGCAACAGCGAGGATTAGACTTGGTTCGGTAATATCTAACCCTAATTTTTTGTTTGCAGGTGTTAGGGAAATTTCCGGTGGGTTAGAGGAAATCCGGTGAGGGTGAAGATCTGCAGTGAGTCAGGATTATATTATGGTCGATTTATTGTTAATTAAGCAGAGTTTTTTATGTTATGATGGTAGACTTGAATGGTATATAAAATGAGTAGTAGACTTGTTTCTATAAAGAGTAGTATACTTGTTCATAAATGAGAAAGAGTAGTAGACTTGTTCGAAAAAGCTGAAAGAGTAGTAGACTTGTTCAGTAAAGATAGAGTTTAGTTTAGTAGACTTGTTCATAAATGATTGAGAGTGGTAGACATGTTCAGTAAAGATAAAGTTTAGTTTAGTAGACTTGTTCATAAATGATTGAGAGTGGTAGACATGTTCGTATAGTGGGTGGTAGACTTGTTCGTAAATGATTGAGAGCGGTAGACATATTCGTATAGTGAGTGGTAGACTTGTTTGTAACTGATTAAGAATGGTAGACTAATTCTTATTACATATATGCAGAGATGACCTCTTCTAGCAAGAAGAAGGAGTACCCATCCACACTATTTCCGTCTGGGAGATCACCTCTGCAGAAGAAGAGTTTCCATAATTGTTGCCAATTGACTGAATTCGGGCACATGAGAAATGGAGTTGGAGATACAGTTTTCAATGATATCATGAACACCTCTCAGGTAAGCTTGCTTTTATTTAGTAGATTTGTTTGCCTTTGTAGTTTGATTTGTTTGGTGTTATTTGGTAGATTTGCTGTGTAGTTTAGTAGACTTGTTCGTTATTGATTTATATTGGTATCATCTACAATTCTCAGGTTGGAGTTTTGCTGAAGCTTGCTACGAAGACTTACACCTGGTCTGCGAAGACCGTTCATAATTTGGTTACCAACCAATTAACTGTATATCAAACAGTTATGACGGTAGACTTGTTATGTCTAACCCTGACGAAGGTAGACTTTCATTGTTTTGTACGTTGACCCCTAACGACGGAAGACTTCTATGGCGGATTCTTTTAGGACATGTTGATGAACTAGACTTTCAAATGACCATGATTTTTTTTGGCATGATGTTGGTCCTTTGAAAGTTTGGTATATTCCATGTTCGAAAAATCGCTGATTTCTCTGATTAATCGGATGCCTAGGCGGTAGTCGGAGACTGACCGTGGCGATTACAACCTAATCGGTAAAAAACTCAGAAAATGAAAAACAAAACTCAATTTTGTTCGTTTTCCTTTAAAAATCTCATATTCTTTGCTAGATTTTTTAGTTTAATGGTACAAACATTAGAAAAAAAAACGAAAAGAGAATGATGAAATCATGGAAGCCGCCGTTTAGGGTTACAGATCGCAGAACTTTGAAGAAGAAGATGATAAGAAATTGACTATTATACCCTTCATTAAACTAAAACCTTATAAAAAAACACAAAAAGCTAACTGAGCTTTGAACCCACGACCTCTAAGACAGCAAAACTCAATACTGCCACTGCACCAGGTTCATACGTATAGTTTTCATGACAATAAATAATATATGACCAATATATTTAAATAAATACCCTAAAACTAATCACCGATTAATTTCCGATTATTCTTCTAGGCGCTAGGCGCACCCTCACCGCCCGACTAACGCCTAGCGATATTTTGAACATTGGGTATATTTAATGTTAAAACGGTTAATTATTGGAATATTTTGCATCAATTAGGTCGACAACAATTTTAAAAAAAAAGTACGACGATACAAGTACTAGAAGAGAGTACAAAAATGAAGCAAGTGTTACAAGTCTAACAAACCGATTCTCACAAGAGAGTAGAAAATTTATGCTTTACATGTGATGCGATTATGTCCACTTTTACCACAAGTAGAGCATTTAGGCATCTGTCTTGAACGTTTGTTCGCTGTCGCGATCTCGAATGCACTCTTAATGCGTGTCTTCTTTGGTCTGCCTGGAGGATGGCGAACGAAAGGAGGATGACAAATTTTGTTAGCCACTTCTTCTGGCACTGGTAGTGCTATATCTCTTGGCATTACACTTCCTGCGTAAGCATGTTGCAAGTAATTTGTTTGGTAGTAAGGATGGCATAGGGAGATTCGTGAAGTTTTTCTTGCTTCTGCAGCGGCTATGACATGTACACAAGGGATTTTATCAAGATCAAACCGACGGCAGGTACATGTTTTTTCCTTCAAATTGACAACATGGGCAGAAGTTGTGCCAATAACCTCTGACTGATCTGCGTCAATAACTTGCACAGCCAAAAGTTTGGCATCTTCAACCCTGATCTGCTTACGAAACATGTGAATAAGTCTATTACAAATGCTACTTCAAATAATTTGTCTACTATAAAATATAAATAAGTATACTACAAGTGGTTATTCAAATAAAATGTCTACCATAAAATATAAATAAGTCTACTACAAATGCTACAAAAATATGTCTACCATGAAATATTAAATAAGTCTACTGCATATGTTAATTCAAATAACATGTCTACCACAAAATATAAATAAGTCTAGTATTGTAAATCACAAATATTAAATCTACCAAAATTTTATAAATCTACCATACTTATAATTAAATCTACCACATTATTATCTAAAATACGACTGTTTTAAATCTACCATACATACTAATAAATCTACCAACTCGTGATAAAGTTACTATTAATAGCAATAAGTCTATTAAACAAAATAAGTCTACTGTACATCAAACTAAATAAATATGTCACATTACAAATAAATCTGTCGCCATTACTATTTAAATCTACCAAAAAATTAAACACTTACTATAAGTCAACGATATTTTCATAAGTCTATCATTAAAGATAATAAATTTACCAACAACAAATATGTCTACCAATCAAAAATAAGTCTACTATGCTATAAAAATATGTCTACTAAAACAAGTCTACTAAGGTTCAACAAATCTACCAACTCTCAAATAAATCTACCAACAAAAATTTGCGTTGAGCAAATTTAAACAAGTCTGCTACAAATAAAGGTAGACTTATGCATAATGCCGCGTTACTTTTTGCTTACGTGGCATATAAAAAATAATGGTATTTTCGTAATAATGTTTTTTTCAACAAAGCCCAAAAGAGTAAGATCGGTATACGAAGTTAATCTAGCATAAAAAATAAAAATATGTCAAATTATTAATAAACTTTGGTTTGGAGGGTACTTGAGTAATTCACCATTGAAAGTAAACCGCTCAAATTCATCCAAGTTTTTCAATTCTATACGTAAATATAAATATAATTTTCTGTATAGTACCACTGACGTCATGAACATTCATTCAACGATTGGTAACATATGGTTGTGAATTTTCATGTGTGTAGCCAATTTTTCCGAATATCAACATCAGTCCAAATCATTGGTTTGGAATAAGTGTAGTGTTCAGACGTCGGCGAGGAAATAAAAAGCGCAAGTAATATACTAATAGTGAAAATTCCTCAGACTAACCTTTAAGGTTAATGTATTGACAAACTTAGCCTAACATATTCATCAGCTTACTAGACTAACCTTAGAAAGTTGGTGTTATACCATTTTGTCCAAATAATGAATATTTTTACCAGATTGCCATTCGATTTTAAAAAACCTTAAAAAAAACATTTTACAAAAAAAAAAAGAAATCATAATCGTTTTAATTACTTATAATCGAAAATCGAAAATACAAAAACATAAAAATAGAAACTGAAACCCTAATCTCCTCCGGCGGCGACTGTAAAGGCGATTTGGCGCCGAAGGAGACGATTTCGGCGATTTCGCGACGAAGGAGACGATTTCGGCGGCGACGAAAGCTTTTCGGCCACTCATCTCGTAAGTCTTGACGTCTGGGTTAGTTTCTCGTCGCGAACAAGTTTTGACTTCGGTTTTCGCGAAGGTTGTGTTTGGGTTTTACTCGCGACGGTTGTGTTTGGGTTTCAATGGTGGTTTCGCGCTAACGTCGGAAGAGAACTCCATCTTTTCGTTCGTAGTCGAAAACCCTTTACCCAGAAATCGTAACCCTTTGCTTTTTTTTTCAGGGAAGTATTATCGGCGGGTTCCGTCTTTCGAGAACGGTTTATACTGAGCCCAGACGATTTCCGGTGACCAATTTCTGTTTGTAGTGGTTCGGTTTTAATTTCTTTTTGGTAGACTTTCAGCAGTTGGTTGCAGTTGTTCGATTTGTATATGCTTAACGGTAGATTTATTGTGTTTAACGGAGTTCTTTTCTATGTGAGGTAGATTTGTTTTCGTTTCATTGTGTGGTAATATTGTTGGTAGAGTTAATGTTGATATTGTATTGGTAGATTTATGTATTGTTGGTTTATTTATATCATGTGTGGTAGACTTGTGGTCGTATGTGGTAGAGTTATATACTGTAGTTGCTCCCGGGTTTGGTAGATTTTATATTATAGTTGCTTTCTTGTTTGGTAGACATGATAAGTTTGGTAGACTTACGAATTCTATATTTGCGTTCTCTCTTTGTGTG